TCGACCGTTAAATGCACACTAGAATTTCATAAACCCCGAGATTGCGCAAAAGCAAATTTTGCGTAAAATTTTTAGTAATTGACGGCTTTTATTAACTGCTCTAAAGCCGCTCACAACGGTCGCAGAATTTTTAAAGCACTCATGAAACCAGGCTCTACGTACAACCGTTTTGCGGGCTCACTTTACTACTCTGCTGTCTGAAGCGCATAGGTGCTCAATGAAATGATCCATGTTTGTTCTTAACAACACCGCAAGTCATCAAACGAACACACTGTTGTGAGAACTTTGTTCAAATGCTCACTCATGAAACACGCTGATAAAAATTGACGATAACACCCTAAGTAGCGTAGATTTGTACCGAGGACCTATTTGGTTTGTGGCGGATAGCTTCTCAACACAGCCGCCATAAATGTGTAAGGCAAAGTTCGATTCACAGGGGGGACACAGTATAAATTGCAGACACATGAGCCTTTAAGTAAGCCTGGATATGGAGTTTCGTTATTCGCTACTCATTGCATTACATCTCCGCATCGAACATGCTGCATTGTTGGGGCCGCCGGGCATCGATATTTAACAATAAACCGTAGAACAACTGAATTATTCTTGCGCCTCTTTCCGAATCCTGGATAAACTGTCGGCATCAATAAGCAACAAATGGTTATTCATTGGTCTGAGTCTCAAAGTTTCTTTCCGAAGTCCACATGAAAGTGTTTTTAGACTGGAAATTGGCACCAATGTTACCTCAAGCAGACAAAATGAAGAATAACTTCTGAGCGTGCAGGCCTGAGATGAACGCGTTGCCCATGATGCTGCAGCTGACGACAATGTGAGGCTAACGGATCCCTCAGTTAGAAGAATGGGCCTACGTGGATGCCGGTTGAACAGGGCCGACAAAAGTAGGAATAACGCATATGGGAATGTGAAAGGAAAAATCCTTCTCCAGTGGTATGTTTCCGGTTTCTCGCCCTGTGGTATACAGCACACATGGTAAACAGTTCGATGACACTACTCGCGTCTGATGTGATATGAGATTATTCTAAGCGTGCTTGATATTGTGGTGAGATGCTACCAGTGTATGGGGGTAGGTCCTTCACAACGAAGTTGTTTATTAGCAGACACCAACTAAGCAGCTGCAGACCAATAAACGGGAAAATAACCATCTCGTTTTTGATAGAGCATTCTCAAGAGACTGGTTCAACTTTGGTGGCTATTTATTTACTGTCACCCAAGGAGTTTGTGCGCGAAAAATAACATTAGGCTGGGAGAAACAACTTTCGCGTTTTTTCAGGAGTTGCTTTCATCTAGAAGAGTCGTAGATGAAACATCTTCCAAGACCAATGGCGTGACCTGTGGTCATAATGGTGATCGTCATTTCAAAATAGATACACACTTAGTCAGGAAGGGTTCAATCTTGGCCACTAAGACAACGGGCAACTACGCAACGGATCCATTCGGGCAAAGTTCAAGCGGAACAAACCCATACGGCGGATGCAATTTATAGAGCTTTGATCACTCACCTGTTTCCGTTTCTCGGAACCTGAAGGGGGCAAATTTTGTTTCCAAAACTGACTGATTAAACCTGGAGAAGGAAAGCAGGATCGAGGAGATGTGCAGAGTTGAGTAAGGATAAAAAAGAACCCTCATCCTTCGCTAAAGTAATCTGTCGTAATCATCACGATATGTAGAATAGCTTATGTCTACGGTGTCCATCGATGGTGGTCAGGCCGTGAAACTCGTTATAAAAATTCATGTTCTTGCCAACCTTTGACCGCTAATTCACTTTTATGAGGCAAAAAATTGGTGTGATGAAAAATCTCGGTTGATTTTTTTCTGACCTGCGCGATGAACGACCGTGTAAGCAAGTAAGCCCATGATGTGAAACAGTTTCAAAATTCCCAAAGAATTATAAATGCACTTTCAGTTTAAATTACTTGCACAGAATCTCCGAAATTCAATGCAAAATTACCCACTTTATTCGTTGTTCACAATGGCGTGTTTGAATCACCTTCGTAGTTTATCACAAACGCAATCTCTGAGGGCTGATGTGATAGAAATCAAGGAAATTATTATCATTTTGGTGTCATAGTAATTGACAATTGTTATGCGGGAAAACTGCAGTGTCGATAAAGCTGAATTTACCAACTGATTTTCGCGTTTATCATGAAGCATCCTGTATTTGTGTAGATTTGTAGACATATTTCTGAGTAAACTAGTTAACTGGATTAACAATATTTCGACAATTGGTGTTATTAGCACACGAACTAGTTTCGACAGGAGACTCGAATGAATCTCTCGCTAATACGTTTCGCTCAATCGGAGTGTGCTGAACACTCTGTTCAGTTGATGCGGGCCATCATCTGAGCCTCTCGTCAAAACGAAATAATGTGCAAAGGGATGTAGTCCTCAAAAGCTGTACAATATATGTTCAAATAGAACGTGAATTTGAGAAAAACTCAGGGATTTGTAGCGAAGCATGAGGAAACTTATCGTGAGTGTCGAAGGATTTTCAGCAACCCTATGATTAGTATTACGTCCACAATAAACATTTTAACTCACGCTCCCCAACAGCAAAACTACCTACGGGCGGCACATTCTGTTTGATGTGTGAGGTTTAAGGTCTACATGGTGAAAATATCCTACGGGTCAGTTTCGCGTTCCATCCAAGCCGTAGAAAAATGCACATACCCATTTCGCATCCCCCGGTATATCTTTTGATCCAAACATCATACGCCTGCATGCGGTGTTCCAGCCATCCTCGAGAACGGCGACGCTTAGGTAATTCATCTTTGTGACACAAACAACACCGCGAATAGTTTGCATACCGAGGAGAATGAAGCAACTCATCATTAAGCAGAATTCCGAAATATAGTTTACTTTACAGTTCAGTTGAAATAAACCAGAAGAAACGAAGAACTGATCTGAGGTCAGAAAGGTTCTTCTTCAAAACGAAGTTATTGTGAAGATGAGAGTATTTGTATTTATCGGGACGGTAAGTTACTTGCAACTAAACTTAGGGTACGCGGAACCAAGGAGAACACCAAACTCTACCCAAATCTGAATAAGGAAGCCGGCAAGCATCCAGACCAGTCAATACTTCAAGTTGTTCAGCAAAAACACTTCGAGGAAGCCCGCCGGAATATGACCAGCGTTTGGGCATCTAACAAAAGCACGGCCGATATTGATAGGTGTCCACTAACGCCCATTAGAAAGCCCAGATCACTACCAGATACTAACAGTTGATTAACGCGAAGCTGTCGTAACCGATGCACCCATACGCACGCACTCACCAGTTGGGAATAAAGCTGTTGTGTTCTCCTGTCTGTTCATTTGTCTGTCTCCAGACACTGTAGTGTGAACAGCGGTTTGATACAGCAGTATCATTCCATTTAATTCAATCCGCCATTTCTTCCAAAAACAGGTAGAGTTAAGGAGTGCCACTATTTGGTGGCGCTCTTCTGCCACAAATAATCGCCAATATTTGTGTGTAACGGAACCAATCGGATTGCCGTCAAATTTGGGGTGTCGGCACGATGCCTAGCCTTAGATGTTTAGTTTGTAGGCTTAGGTTGCCAGTGCACTGCCGGGTGAAACAGATTCCCTAGAATGGAAGAGAATGCTGACGGTAATGAAAGCTGACTGCTGTTCAAATAAAGTCACAAACCGAAAATTACCGGACCATAAATTAATTTTTCCTGGATTGCTGATCGCCAATTCCTTGCAGTCATTAGAATTCTATATCAACTAGTGACTGACGACACATTTCGTGATGGTGTTGTGTAGAGATCTGCCTCCACCCGGCTGCATCCGGTTCAGTGCAGTGTTGTACACTGTGTTGTACACTGTGGTCTACATTTCACGCAAAATCTTCCACCGCAGTCTGTGGGTTGACGTGTCTAGTCAACCGCGGAAAGACTTCCCACTTGTGTCGACCACAGCATCATATTTCGTCAGGTTGCAGAGCATCAACATGCGTACTGTAGCTCAAAAATATTGGTTTACCTGCTATCGAAAATGTAATCGATGTTCTCGTTCGCTTATACACGAGACAAATTGTCACGTTGCAATGAAACACAGGGCAACACTTTACTACCCACTGAAGCTTAAGAACTTATACAGATACATTTTCCACGTGTGAAATTTTCCATACGTTGCCCATATAACTCCGTGCGAGTAAGTCACGAGCGGACCAAAGATAATGGTGCCTTCTATGTTCATTTTAAATACACACATAGTAGTATGGTATTATTTGACCACAGTGCACAGCAACTCTATGGCATTTAGGCTTAATTCGATCGGCGTTACAGCTAATGTCGTTGCTACGTCAGTGGCCTCCGTTGTGATTTCTGAAACCTGGTTTATGCATGGTTAATGTAATGCATGCCAAAACTTCTGTTCTGCTGAGACATTCAAGGGAACCTTTCTATGTCCACATTCTTGATACGGATGTGAGAAAAATCGAAGTTGTGTTTTAAATAATCTGTTGTATTTTATTAGAGGGACCCATTCACTACATCAGTGTGGTTGTCGTTGCCCGATTTGCCTACTGAACAACCAGATAAATGTTGAGCGAAGAACTGCTGATCAATAGTGCGAACAGCTCTCTCTTAGAGTAGACACAGCGCCAATCACCGTTCACTCAGGAGCTCCCGGGTGAAGACTCGTTAGAGGGATTTTTCAGTCATCTTATTAAACTATTTTCCTCTCATCCAATTGTGGATTGGGTGTAGCATGAACATATTGCATCAGTTCTCGTAGTGGGTTATTCTTATCTTTGAAGCCAGTCTATACCGCCACGCCGAGAAGCGTCTACAACTATCGCATCTCACTAATATCCAGAACGAGTCAAACCTGCAAAATTTCGAATATCGAACGTTTTGATTCGCTGATAATATGTATGCCGATGCCCGCCATGTAAATCTTACCTCCATGTGTTTAATGCCTTAAGATGAAATTTCAGTTTCAGCCCCATGTTTAAGCCCTTATATTCTCGTTGTTTACGGCGGTGCAAGTATTTTTTGTGTGCACTTTGTGCTCATGTCCACTGGTCTTTTTCCTGACTAGAACGCTAACGAGAATTTGACTCTCACGTCCTAGTCAAACTCGATATGACACGCCCACCACAACAGAAACAATCAGGCAACATCGTAGTCGCATATCATCAGCATCATTCTAACCATCATCACCATTATCATCCTCATCATTACTATCATGACAGCGTGGTTTCAGGGCCCCGAATAAATTCAGTCATTTTTGGGAAAAAAATTGCACAAATATTTCCTATAATAAAACTAGGGTGTCATGAAGCTTCGTGGGTGCCTTTATGGTTAGGATATGGTTACCACTCCGTCAGAAGTTGGATTCTCTGGTCGGATTCATTTGTGTAATTTTGACCACCTCTATTCAAGCAATCCTTATTTCGTACAAAAACATCTTGTCTCCGGACGTCGCTCCATGGATTTGATAAAAGCATGTGAGTTTGTGGTGCAGAAATATCAGCTGAACCACCACAAATTATTTAACCTGTTTAAGAAGATGAATATGGGAATAGAGTTGAATATTCAGTAGCGGACGTCACCTCGTGCGCACTAGTATATTTCAATATTTTAGAGTCCACATCGGTGATTGTAAAGAGATGAGTTATCAAAATTATTTTTAAGTGGTAACTATTTTGATGTTGCATTGGTTAGGTATCGGAGCTACTGTCAGGTTTTGTGATGCCCCAATCGTCTGGGTCCTGTCAATGTGTAACCGCGATAAAATTTGTTTGGTTCGTCGGGAAAAACGCACAAGGCCCCGCATAACATGTTGCCACTGTCATTTTGTCGATGAAGATTCAAGCGGGGTTCTTTCTTCGGGTACGGAATGCGTCCCGATTTTCACTGGCATCAAACGTAACCCCGATGGCGAAGTGAAATACGATCCTCTGTGACCCTGAACAAATATTTGTTTGTTGACTTGTCCCAACCAAAGTTCACATTTATGATACCAGAAAAAAAATCCGCTTCCCGGTCACTTTTACCTCATTTCGTTATTCATTTATAAACTCGAGACTGAAAGACATACCCTTCAATCACATAATAATTGCGTTAACATTTCAGTGGATCTCATTCTCAGAAGATACTGCGTCCTACGCTGAGATATTATGAAACACGGTGAACGTGAACACATTTAGGGATAAGCGATATCTTTCCGATTTTGTGTGGAAGTTGGCCTTCTCACAGAAAGAAAAGTGTGATGAACGACTTTTATACACAAATCAGTGACATTCGTGTCATTTTTGTGATTCTAAACACGTATGACTACCAAGCGGCATACCCCCAAACCTCACGGAAAGTGTCTCGCTACCATACGAGTTGCTTCGCTCTCTAGCTGTGAGAGGTGGCCCCTACGGGCAACTAATCCTAAACGTCTCTCGGTCTCCGATCGAAAGGTGTTATCGCCTTACCAATATTGGTGCAAACTGATTTCGCTGAATCCACAACGAGACAATTAGCAAATGAATTTAAGGGTGAGCAACACAGGCCTCTATGAAGGAAAGTGTTATGCTAAGAGGGAGATTTCGGGAAAACTGTTCATGGCGGTGTGAAAATGAAAACATTGTCACCGGCACCGCTGTGGGTTAACAAGAAGGTTTGGAATAGTAGCTTTCTGGGCGTCGCTCCCACCCATAGGAAAGCTCGAAAAACACCACTCGAAATTTGATGGCGATATTCCTCAACAATTAGGTTTGTAGTTATTACCTAATCAGCCCTATCCAACTGGTGATCAACAAAAATGGGTATAAAAATTTTCGTATTTTTCTCCGTTTCGAAGGCGCACAATTATACTGTGCAGAAGGGATGTGTCCATCTTTGAGTCACTGATCCACACAACTCTTTTACGGCAGTTAACAAGCAATTAACGCGAATGAAGTGGGAGGATAGTGAGCATGTTGGTCAGGCTGTTGTTTGGTATACACTGCTGAATATAATCAGTACATAAAATGATTTCCACTAATCAAGTTTTTGCATGGGCACATTAATATGGAAATGGAAAATCGATTTTCGGACGTATCAGGAGATATAGTATCTCCTATGGTTTTGAATATAAGTGGAAGCAGTCTTCCACTTTAGCTAATGTTCTCGCGTTTCATTGGAACGGACACACTCAGCTCTTCGAACCCACGATCTTAGTAGAAATATTGGTAGAATTATTTGTGAACAGATTTACATAATGTATACACCATTGGGGAACATTCTCATAAACAAGTTGGAGAAACCCGCATTTTGAACACGGACATCCAAGGAAACGTATGCTTTTAACTTAAACTTATCTAGAAGCGTACCGTTCATTCGTCGTGTGTTCTTTGCTCTCGGTAATCAGCTTGCAAATATTTCGTCACCAGGAGAAGTGACATCATGAGTGAATGGGTGGGTTGACAGTTCCTCCATACCCGTCTGATATTATTCTGCTATAACTGGCTACAAGAGCGTACCCTTCTCAGGGACTAAGTGGTCCGTTTCAAGCCGTGTGGTCTGCTTTGTGTTGTGCATTACCTGAATTCGATTGGCGCTTTGAGTACTTCTCGCCCGCGGAAATTTAGTTATTGTCTGGTTGACAGGTTGTGTTGTGCCTGAATTCGATTGGCGCTTTGAGTACTTCTCGCCCGCGGAAATTTAGTTATTGTCTGGTTGACAGGTTGTGTCACTATCTGCCCCCATATTCAACTGGCTGCCACACCGTATTCTCGATAGCCAGATACTGAAAACGCGTAACACATGGCTTTCAATGTTGGATGTATATTTTGAATAAAGTAACGTCTGTTAGGGCATTAGTTAAACGCCTTTCATTAGAGATGATGCAGGATATACGAGAACAAAAGAAGACGTGATTGGCGAGGACGTGACATTAAAATGAATGCCTCTCCACCCGCGTATGCTGCACAGTTCCTTTTGTTGTTTATTTCGACAGCACCTAGCTGTCGCAAGACAAGAAGGAAAATTATCGTGAGCTACAGACATCTCAGCGATTATAGTGTGAATTTAAGGACGGGAGGTTCAGGCATTTGAAATAACCTTAACAGCGTATAACGTTAACCATGTTTTAAAATCAAACGATTAGACTCAAACAACAGCGAATAACAAAATATCTGTCTCGAATGTGACCAACGAAATATTCTCTATGAAAATGGAGTTAATTTAGAAAAAAAACTGATATAACAACGTGACATCCAGGAGAATCTCCATACTCTAGGCGACAGCCGATAACGTGCTACTGATGTGTTACCACTTAGTGGGGGACTTCAGAAAGGATTATTCGTCAAACTGAGTTCTTCGTTAGGATGGAACTCCTCACACCAAAACGGTGTGAGGACGGCCGAAATCTCAGAATGAAGCTCACACGAACAGCTATCAGATCAGTTCTTCGGGGTGGCGACCGATATGCACACGAGCCACCGAGTTATCGAAGGCAAAGCTGAATGACAGCAGATCCCCAACTAACACAAAGCTGATGACGAAGGCCCAAACATTAATGCTCACAAAAACTGTTAAACCAAGAATGTTTCTTTCGAACGGCGAATCAAATAGATCGGTTTCGCTGACTGGCGATATGTACAGAAACATCCATCGGAAGTTCCCGTACAGACCATCGGTTGATCAGAAAACACGCACTAACCGTGAATGATTACGGAGTGCACCAAAATTCCAAACGCAAACAGTGCATTACCATTGTCAACTGCCGTCCGAACTAACCATTTCAGCAATTTCCATTCTTTGGCATTAAGTTTTCACTCACCTTTTGGTGCTTCCACGAACTCGTTCACTGTGATATCCTAAAACTTTTAATACGCGTGATCAAATATTCCTTCTACAGTGGTGTTATCCGAACCTATTCTATTCAGGTTAACCATCAGTTTTCAGTCCAACAATTGATTGAAATCTATAACCTACTCACTATCCTCGATCAGATTACTTTCAATACGATCGCCGAGTGCTAAAAACGGAAAACATTGTTCGTGGGCGTGTTTATCGAGCAGGGCATCTCGATTCCCTCCTTATGCTTAGTGTTTCCAATAGCGTCGAAAAGGAATCACCTGGAAGCACGACCAGTAGCCATCGTTGACCTCAGTACTTAAAGGATAAAGTATACGTGTGAACTAGCCGCTATCTTGAGCTGCGTACCACCCCGTTAATTGGTATTTCAAACCACTGTGCTGTGACACTCCTCTTTTCATTTTGACATTAGATCCGGCCGTCGAGCCACTGGTCATGCTGGTTTTCCCTGGAGGATGAAGTCCCTTAGTCGCTACCGCCCGAAGTTTACACGTCAAGAAATGCCCGAGGTCAACCGGCTGTTTGAATCCGGTAGACAAGAACTGTGAGAACCAGTTCATACTCGACGGTATGGTGCATCGAATCAGGGAATGTTATGCGTGCCGAAACATCTGATTTGGTGAAACTTTTAAAAGAAACTGTAATGCTCACCATCTTAGTACGGATGCTAAAAACTTCAAGGCTGTGTATAGGAAAATGTGTTGCGTTTTATTAGCTACAACTCTCAACTAGACCAGTCTGCCCATCATTCCTTAATCGCCTGCTAAACAACCAGGTAAATGTTGGGCCGTACTGTGGTCAGTGTTGTGATCAGCTGTCAGTTAGAGTGGATATAGCATCAGTCATCCTACAATCACAGAAACGAAACAACGTAATCATGTGTTGGCGGGTAGCTTGCCGGTCCAATATTTAGGAGAACTCTGATTGAAACCAACAGCCAGTCCTAATTTTGTGTCCATCGAATACTGTTTGCCACTGGTGCATTTAGGCTGCGCCAGAGTTGCAAGCTGTTCGCCGCAAACACTTGATTAACGAAGTGCTGTATCTAATCGGGGACACTGATACACGCTGATAGTTCTTTTGATAAGAACGCTAGCTTGAAAGTCTTGCACCAAGAACTACGCTTCGAAAACGCCGTTATTACATAGAGGTCCACCTGATGGGCCGCAAGAAACGTTTAAACTGGGTCGTGGACTGCTCAAGAGTTCTCTATGATCTTACGACTAGTGTTCGCTCATGTAAAATTACTTTTCTGTAATCTAGTAAAACTGATCAGCCTCTCCTACGGCTAATAGTGCGTTTTCATAAGCAGGATCATGTTACTTGCAACCTGTGTTCCATGGTGTAATAATGGAGAAATTCATTCGGGTGCTGCGCTGGGAAACACGGACATACCCTTCCACGGTAGTCAAATACCACACCCCTGTAGACGTCTCCGTGCTCGTAGCCATGGAACACTTCGAATTAAAACGGATTTCTGGAATAAAATGATGAAAAGCAACAGTTGGATTTGTGAAGAAATTTGAACAAATAAATAAAACAAGCGCAAATTCTGTCTGACGTTATTTCCCGAGGTTGTATTTGTACAACGTATCACGAGGATTACTGCACACTGAGACATAAAGTGTTAACACAGTGTGTTACAACCTATATGCAAGAACCAAGTTTTCACATCATTAGAAGATTACCCCACTTATCCAAATAATCTGTTGTACTACAAAATTTCAAGACTACTAGATTGTCTGCTTGGTACTTACTCCAAATCAGTCGGCTGATGCACTCAATCAACATCTAGATATCGGCGTTATTAATTTCAAGCTACTGGCAAAGGAAATATAGTGAAACATGCTATTCACCAGCGAGGACATACCACATTGATGACAATTTGATAATGATTAGATCGTACTACTACATCGTTCTGTGGCGTTCACAGTCATGAAATGTCATGAAATGAGAGGAGATGGAAAACATTGTGGGCAATATTTACATGCTAATGTCTGCTACATCGTCATAGGTGAAAGTAATTATATTCTCCGGTGTACCTTTGTTTGCACGCACGACTTGATAGCGCGTTAAACGTCCGCCTGCATGAGAATAAAAATGACAGATGAATTGAAGATGAAGTGACATATAGTATGAAACCAACAGCCAGTCCTAATTTTGTGTCCATCGAATACTGTTTGCCACTGGTGCATTTAGGCTGCGCCAGAGTTGCAAGCTGTTCGCCGCAAACACTTGATTAACGAAGTGCTGTATCTAATCGGGGACACTGATACACGCTGATAGTTCTTTTGATAAGAACGCTAGCTTGAAAGTCTTGCACCAAGAACTACGCTTCGAAAACGCCGTTATTACATAGAGGTCCACCTGATGGGCCGCAAGAAACGTTTAAACTGGGTCGTGGACTGCTCAAGAGTTCTCTATGATCTTACGACTAGTGTTCGCTCATGTAAAATTACTTTTCTGTAATCTAGTAAAACTGATCAGCCTCTCCTACGGCTAATAGTGCGTTTTCATAAGCAGGATCATGTTACTTGCAACCTGTGTTCCATGGTGTAATAATGGAGAAATTCATTCGGGTGCTGCGCTGGGAAACACGGACATACCCTTCCACGGTAGTCAAATACCACACCCCTGTAGACATCTTCGTGTAGCCATGGAACACTTCGAATTAAAACGGATTTCTGGAATAAAATGATGAAAAGCAACAGTTGGATTTGTGAAGAAATTTGAACAAATAAATAAAACAAGCGCAAATTCTGTCTGACGTTATTTCCCGAGGTTGTATTTGTACAACGTATCACGAGGATTACTGCACACTGAGACATAAAGTGTTAACACAGTGTGTTACAACCTATATGCAAGAACCAAGTTTTCACATCATTAGAAGATTACCCCACTTATCCAAATAATCTGTTGTACTACAAAATTTCAAGACTACTAGATTGTCTGCTTGGTACTTACTCCAAATCAGTCGGCTGATGCACTCAATCAACATCTAGATATCGGCGTTATTAATTTCAAGCTACTGGCAAAGGAAATATAGTGAAACATGCTATTCACCAGCGAGGACATACCACATTGATGACAATTTGATAATGATTAGATCGTACTACTACATCGTTCTGTGGCGTTCACAGTCATGAAATGTCATGAAATGAGAGGAGATGGAAAACATTGTGGGCAATATTTACATGCTAATGTCTGCTACATCGTCATAGGTGAAAGTAATTATATTCTCCGGTGTACCTTTGTTTGCACGCACGACTTGATAGCGCGTTAAACGTCCGCCTGCATGAGAATACAAATGACAGATGAATTGAAGATGAAGTGACATATAGTAAGGCAGGGAGGTTATGGAAGCCAAGCAGAGTGATTAGTGCCATCCACACGTGGGGGAGTATCAGTTCTCCAAACAGCATTTAGATGCATTAACACTGACCAAAAATTTGGTTCTAATTTCCTCACGTATGCTTCCGTTCATAACCTTCTGAAGTCTAAGCATCGTCAGTTAACTATTCGGGTATTTGGTAAGTGACTGCTGCAGAGCTGAGGTAAATCGCCGGCAGCTTGATGATGACCAATTTTTGGGATTTTCTGAGTTTTTGCAATCGACCATAGGCCAAGCTCGGCCGGAACGTCCAGATTCACTATACAACTGACTCATCCTCATTGAGAATCATCGGACGTGCACCATTCATTCTTCCGCGAACAGAATTTAACCCAACACCCACCGAACCCTATTTGTAGGCTTAACTGTCCGGCCACGAGTAGTTGACCAGTTCCTACATAGGAACGTAGTTGGACGGGTATTTTCTCAAGAAACCGGAAAAACCCAATCCATCCCAAATGTACCAAATCAAACTATATTTTCAGTAAGGTTTACCTCTAAGAGGGATGATGAGGGCAACTCATTGATTTTTACTCGATGGCGCACAACACTTCGATTGTAGTGGTCCCTCTTGAGGATTTATCAGTCAGTCTGGGAACCGAAATTTGACCCTCTAAGTTATACAAATACGTGAACAGGTAACTGTTCAATGCCCGAAGAATTTCATCTACCGTATGCGTGTTCCACTTGAGGGTTGTCCCGAAAGAATCCGGTCACTAATGTCTCATTGACTAACTGACCAGGATCGAACCCCTCGTGGTTAACTCTGTATAATTTAGAAATACGACCACACTAATGACCATGGTTAACACACTTGATCTTGGAAGATAACTGATCCATGACCATCCTGTATGAGATCAACTCGAAAAAGAAATCCAAAAGATGTTCCTGTCATCTCAAAGTCAGTATTGTCACTCAGATTATTTGCGGGATAATCGACAAATAGCCATAAAACTTCAAAAAGGCTATTGGGAATGATCCCTTTTTCAAAGCGGCACGGTTAAGTTACACTCAGGTTGTTCGCAATCGCTTAGTGGATAGTTTATGAGTAATGATATGCGGTGAAGGAAAACTGTGTTTAAAAGTGATCCCATGTCAAGAGGCTCGACTAAAGTCATCAAACCGTTCGCTTCATCTGAAGTGTACAATAGATTAAGCTAACAAAAAGGGCCACTGCTGCTGCAGGATTCCCCCTTTCTTTCGGTATAATCGACTGCATCATGATAGTGCAAACGAACTCCACATAGGCACACTCCTATTATCTGTCGGAACGTTTAGATTTCATTGTAGTCAGCTGCAATATCTGAGGTAAACTCCCCACACACATTTAGAAGCTCCGAAATTATACTTCAGCGCGTCTGCTCCGCCGCTGTTCGTTCAAATGTGGCTGGTATTCTTCTCGCCAAACGCTGTCTATTGGTTATCTTTGCATAATCTCCAAAAAATGGAGATTTGATGCTTCCAGAAACAGTTTCAAGGTACACTCGATTTCCCCACCCTGGTGCTCGCGACATCCACGTTTGCCCATTACTAATATCTGAGGGATCCGTTCGCCTCCTATTGCCGTCAGCTGCAATGTTCGCGATCAACTGGGCCGCCACAGGCTTACAACCTCCGAAACTGTTTTCATTTCGTCTATCAATCAATAATGATTGCGTTCCTAAGCGTACTGCCAGTAGGCTTGTCTACTTGACTCGCCTTCTGTTTACTTCGGAAATGCGGAATTGAGATACGACCACGTTTGCTGAACTGCTCTCTCCATTTTTTAGCACTCGCTTATACATGCGCAACTCTGCTGATACGGATGCCGCTCCGGCTGCTTGTTCTACTGGAGCTGGTATTGTTCTAGGACACCGAGGTTAATGGCTTCTCATTGAATGGTTTAACAGCTACATGTTTGCAACATCTTGGAGAATATTCGAGAAGCGGACTGTCCACTCGTTTGCTATGCTTACTGTCCCGTCGACCGTAGGTCTGATTCTTGTTTGCAACTGGAGAATATTCGAGAAGCGGACTGTCCACTCGTTTGCTATGCTTACTGTCCCGTCGACCGTAGGTCTGATTCTTTCACAGATAGATTTTACGGTGTTCTGAGCGCCTTGTTTCGATGAGATAAGAGCCCGTATATTATTGTGGTTGCCGGCAACGTGATTACAAATGTTGTTAGACTTATCACTGGCACAGCTCATTTGCGTCGTATTGGGGTAGATAAATTGCCCGGACAACGCCAGACGCACGTGGAAGTTATTGTTGAGGGTGGGCTGGGGGGAAATTTCCACATCAACCGAACCCGCTTCGCCGTATGGCGCTCTTTTACACAAACTAACACATGAAACAGACAAATCACATTAATTTAAGCTATAAGTGGTGGCACTAATCCTCTGGCGTCTGTGTCAACCCGGATCAAACGCATTCTTACAGTGAGAGGATTAAATAACACTCAACGAACAATCCGCATTCAGTCCTATGGGCTGAAGAGGTGTAGGAAACAAAGAACTATTGGGTTGTGCTTTCCATATGCCAGGTAATGGACGGAACAAGACCAAAGAGTCCTTCGAAGAGCCAAGCCATCACTGACAAGCATGACAGAATGTTGGAATTACAATATCTGGGGTTAACTAGGTCACACATTTAGAAGCTCCAGAATTATGCTTCAGCACGTCTGCTCCGCCGCTGTTTGTTCAACTGGAGTTGGTATTTTTCTAGCTTACCGCTGTCTATCCATTCTCTCTGCATAGTCTGCAAAAGAATGGAGCTCTGATGCTTCCAGAGACAGTTTTAAGGTGTTTCGTGTGCCTTGTTGCCGCAAATATGAATGCAAATTAGGTAGAACTAACGCTGCCGCGGCCCATTTAGGTGGGTCCTAGACCGGAGTCAAAATGCACGAACAACGCCGGACGCCCGTGATAGTTGCATGCTGAAGACGGGTGGGAGTTACTTCAAATACACAGTACTTTATCAAACCAAATAGAATAGAATAGTTTGTCCAAGTTTCTCAACAATGCAGGTGCTCTCGCATCACATCTCTTCGGCGTAACACCTAATGTCGCTGAGAGGTGAGTGGTCTTTGTTGAGATTTCTGAGACCTGGTTTCTCCAGCAGGTTACTCTAGACTAAGGTGCTGCGGAGTTCAGGAGCGTTTTTCTAATACGATTAAGCTACAGAGCAAGGTTAGGTGTTTGGTGGAGGCTTAAAGAGCATCGAAGTCCAAGGAAGTCTTTTGCTTTTTGCTAGAACATACCTCCTACTCACAGGTAGTAATTTCGCCTAAAATAACTCAACAGTAAACTCCTATGGGTGATAATGTCGGCTTCTGACTAATGTGAATCACGGTATGCACCTCGGTAAAATCTTAGTTTAATAGGTCGGGACAACCGACCTCACCGAAAGCGAAGTATCACAGAACGGCAGGGAAATACTATCAAAAACGAACACAGGTCACGAAATGTTTGACAATGTGTTGTGCTTTTTATCCATCGACGTTTTAGTGAAACGTCACAGCCATGGAAGTTTTACGGTGAAAGACACCTGTTTGGAGTACCATTGGTCCAAAATTTCACTTTGAAAACACTTTCCCGTAGGCTATAGAAAACCTCTCGGGCTTTAAACCAATGCAAAACCAAATGAAACCTACTTGATGTCGATAAGTTATCCAGGTGTTGGAAACAGCGACAATGACAACCCAGTGCTTTGATGGCTTCTTGTTAAATATCGATGACAAATTGTGGACATCGGCGGCTTCCAACCATGCAACATGGTCGATGCAGGACACGAACGCAATAAGAAGCGGACAAGGACGCATCACATCTGGCTAAGTTGAAACCTAATGTGTCTGGAACTTTATACTCTGCGCCTCCTATAAATCGACCCCCGCCCAACGCACGTATGGCTATATTGTGAAAAATCTATCCACCACAAATCGAGTAGGTCTGCGGTGCGAAGCTTACACATACTAGGGCCTGATGGGGCATTTTGTTCACCTTGTTCAATGACTGATCATTTGGGCAAAGTTCTCTCATCAACGTGTGCACACTGATCACTTGTGGTTTTCCCTAGGACACATGTGGATCACTTCGTTCACCATCTATGTGCTCTAAACTGAGCAGCAAACAGTTGCCAAATGGTCTCACGTAGCTTCACACGGCTTCATGTGTACTTTTACTGGTACATGATGATATTGTTTTGGTTGTTTGTATTAGAACACACGGTGGAACGTGTATTCGTCAAATTTGTGTGTTTCGTTAGGCCAGCTTATCATTTGGTCAATTACCCGGTCTCAGATTTGGAGAAGTCTCAATGCGTAAATCGATGGTTTCATGATGCATCCAACTTACTGGAGCGAAACACATCGAAGTTCACGTTTGTCGTCATCAATGTTATTTACTATACTCTATGATTTTACATTGACGAATGCCCAAGCAGCGGTAGTTAGAAACATTCAGTAGACACTTTCAAATCAGCGGCACGCGTAGCGGGATTCCTTTCTGTCCTTTTCCGAACATGAAACGCTGATAGGCCCTTACAACCTATGCAAAATTAAAGTAGTATGATGGTTTTAATAGTAGTTATCGTTTTGATAAATATATATTTTAGAATTTGGAATATTCATTAAAATATGTTGGACACTTCTCGGTGTGGGTTTCTGAAATTGGTATGAATCAAATTGATTTCAAGACAATTTGATTTCAATACCTTGGCGAAAAAAGTGATCTCGTTACCCCACAGAAGTTATTCGTATGAATCAATTGATTTCAAGACAATTTGATTTCAATACCTTGGCGAAAAAAGTGATCTCGTTACCCCACAGAAGTTATTCGGTGACATGTTCGTCAACCCTGGTTCTGCGGCTGGCTACCTATAATTTTTCAACGGAACGAAAGCTGTAGTACGATGACTACCTCCCACCAGAAGTTGGGAGGATACAAGCTTTATTCCTGATAAGCGCGCCCACTTTAATTACATTCAGAGGGAATAAAGAGACAAAACGTTCAGAATGCCCGAAACCCACAGAGACCCTCAAATCATACAATAATCGCGATAGAGAGGACAGAAGAGAATGCGGAATATCCAGTTGCTGATTGGACGCTGAAGCAATCAGTCATTCCTACAAAGTGGTCACTGATGTGTGGCCGCGCAACGCCGATCTGCAAGCCTGGGTTCAAGATCATAGGTGTGGTCTCTTGTAATCTTCACACCCGCTTTTTCGCAAAATAGTCATTCCGTTACATGCCGTGAGCCACTTTCCGACAACAAGGCTCTGGAACCTGGATGGTTCCTTGAATACGAACCCCTCTAAACCATGCTACTAGACGCGTATGATAATGAAATTCCGGCGACGTAAATGAATAAAAGCTTGGATGGAAATATGCTCCACATTTGGGTCGCCATAATCATGAATGTCAGCATCGGTCGCAAAACTGGTCGGTGCACTCCTCGTCTTCGAGTTAGAACCATACGGTAGAGGGGTGTCATGGATTGAACCTAGATTATTTGAATAATGTCGTACATACATCGGTGATAGCAACAAGATAAAAAATTAATATAGGATTCATTTACCGTTTTATCCACGGGACATTGGTCAAATATCACATCTTCCACAAGAGTTTTCTGCTAGGGAACTCGGCTGTGTTCTGATATTGGTTACCTCCAATAGAATATTGTTCCTTCAAAATTTATACACAAATCTGTGACACCCGGGCCATCTTCCAAATTCTAGACACGTATGGCGGCAAAGCGGCGTGCCCGCGAATCTCACATAGAATATGTCACGCTACCGTACAGATTGTTTCGCTGTATAGCCGAGGAAAGTTACCCCTAGAAGCAACTTAACTAAGACGCCCTTTGGGTCTCCGACCAAGAGCACTTTTCCCAGAACCAAAACTGGTGCATACCAGTGTGTGGATCCACAACGGGATAACAACGTAATAGGTTTTCGGAGAGACAGATACCTGAATGGAAGAAATTGTGATGGTAAGAAAGAGACTTCGAAAGTCTGTACATGTAGGTATGAATCTTCTTTCAGCATACAGCAGATGACAGCAAATGTGTCACGCTACCGTACGGGATGTTCCGCTGTATAACACAAGAACTTGGCCACTAGGAGCAACTAACATTAGACGCCTCTAAGTATTCCATCGAAGCAGTTGTCCCACACCAAAACTGGTGCCACGAGACAATTAACAAATGAGTTTTTACGGTCTTGCAACGGATACCGCAATCGAAGAAATAGTGATGGTTAGAAAGAGACTTCGAGAAGGGTGTGCATGTCGGTCTGAATCCCCTTTCAGCATACAGCAAATATCTCTCACCACAGCCTGATGGTATCGTATTTCGTTGCAAACACCAGTGTTGATCTGCAAATATTGAGAAAATCTTGGATGAATCAAGATATCCACCCTCTCACTCATGGTTAATAGTTTATAGTGACTTAGTTGGTGTTATGATAAATCCACGTCAAGAGACGAGGCCCTCTCGTATAAAATTATAGTTCCCTTCAGGAAGGCGACCGCAAATTTCTCAAATCGGTACCACCAAGCAGTCCAGCACACAGATGAGCGGTAACCATGACCAATATCCTCATGCACAACAAAATATTTCCCAGAAACCTTAGATGGAACACCCGAAAATTTTGTAAAGAGGTTTATGAACTGCCGGATTTTATTCGGAGCCACAAGATCGTTCTATATGGATGCAGAATTTTGTGTCTTATTGAAAGAAACTTAAGACTGCATGAAATTCCCGCCATTCTGTCATTGGTGTGCCTCTTCTCGATTCCCATCTAGATTGTGTGGATGAGTGTTCGGAAGCCACGCATACCCGGATGACATTAGTAGGCTGGAGGTGTATCCCTTACAGATTCAGACGTTTCCTTCGGTTAAACAATAAGGTGTTTATTTAAAAACCTGTTGTAGGTTATCGAAGCACCATTGGCGAACAAACGTTTTACGAAGATTTGGAAGATGATGATGGTGACGCTGGTGACGCTGATGAACCACATGGTTTCCGCACATGTCAGACAAATGGCCCGATAAAATAACATGACTTCCATTGCGAATGAGCTACCACATAGAGCTATACTGGATTTACTAGAGGAACTTTGAACATTGAACATTATTCGGAATCTGTAAATCGTGTTCGCAGTGTATAACGCAGTCCGAGATTCTACTATAAAAGCTACAACGTATTTGTTAGGCCTTGTCGAGCAAGGTGATTATGTTTCTTATCGAGTTCGATCACAGATTCGTGGAGCTTTACGGAGTCCAAGTCACTTTTGAAGAAGCTCAACGGCTCCTTTTATTCACTCACTGGAAAACGTCTCGATAGTGGACGAGTGGATCGGCAATAAATTTTCACAGTCTTACCCTTGATGCAACAACTCATTATTACCAAGGCCGAAGGATTATCAACGTCGCAGGAATTCGATTCTCAATAAGAGGCATTTAGTCCGTTACAAGCGCACTGTATCGCGACTCAACTATTTAGCTCAACGGCATTTAAATGACGCTTCACAGGGATTCTCTTTATCAAGTGGGCAGCTTATTAAACATGTGACATGATTTAAACGTGGGAAGGTCAGGTCGCGGCAGACGGTGACTTGATCTGAGCCGTTTAGACGATTCCAATGGATTTCGAAGATTACGTTGAAAGATGATGCGAGCAGTTTACCCATTGATTGGAAAGAAGAAACAAGGCTGAAATACTCAGGATGACGCGATGCAGACGCGGTGACTTTTCCTCTGCACGCTGCAGGTTGGCACACTTCCTGAGTTCACATCAAAATTACGTTTCATGTTCCGTTGAAGAAAATCATAATAATGAAAGATTCATTTGAGTCTCCTCTCAGAAACGGATTTGTGTGCAAATGAGACTAGTTGTCGAAATATTCTTACTCTAGTTAATTAATTTCCTGCGGAATATACCAACGAGAATTACACAATAAATAGACATAGTCGAAGTGTCATTTCTCTAGTTAACTAGTTTACTCAGAAATATATCTACAAAATTGCACAAGTAGTAGACATGGTTCGAGTATCGTCCCTTCGTCGACAGATTTCGTCGGCATGGAAAGCTGCTTAGGAGATCAGGATAATTGATTGCACCAGGCTAGATATTACTGACCGTGTCTCAAACTCAGCCTCTGTATCTCGACTGGTCCTGTATAGGTTTGGGGAACCCGGCGATTGCTAAACCCTTGTGCTTCCCTGGGAAAATGGAGACTGCACCTTAAAACGGTGCTGCATATGAACTTGCAAAATTTATTATGTCCTAAATATGAAGAATGCAACTTTATCATTTTGACATTGAGTAGATTATCTTCATCTCTGGTGCTGCGAGATCTGGACAGGTTAACTAAAGTGAATGCCACTACGCAAATTGAAGCATTTCAGAGAAGTTGGAGAGAGAACACATAATCTTACAGTCACCTGCCGTAATCATTTTATTTGGCCGGTCCAAGCATTGGAGATATTTCGAGACATTGCCCAACTCAGGTACTGTACAGTTTATTTATCACCTGGTGGCTGATCTGTGTGTCAAGCCCCACAGGTGGATTTCAAATGTTCCAGTAGATATTCACATTCCGCTTTCCACGCTGGCACGCTTGGCATCACTCATTTCTCAGAGTCTTTTGTTGGGCGTATCATAAGTGGACGACACACAAACCATGAGTTTCGGTAGAAAGGGTCGTATATTGAATACGGGTCTTCCAAAGAAGTCATGGATGATCGGTTATTTGCTCGTTTACATGACGGGGATACAAGTGCGAAATTTGTTTGAAATGAAGACGACGAGTAAATCTTGAAGTAAGTTTTGATCCTGACCGAGCTTTGCAAGCACAAGATCGGGCTCACCATTGGAGACCAGATGAACAGCAAGGGAATCACAATAGTTGCTGAAGGCTAAAACTGTAATTCCATGTTACTGCAATTAGCGTTAAATTATCTCGCATGTATTGATCAGATTTTTGCTGTAACTTTAGTGGTATAACTACTTTAGTTATATTCTTATAAGTTTCAAAACACAATCCAATGACCGTGGATTGCAAATACAAAAGGATAGCCGGACTGGTAGTATGGAGGTCAACAAAATAGCCATTAATATGACCTAGTTTCGGCAGTTACGGTCACAATTCCCAAGGTTCAATCACGAAGGTGTATGCGGTACGCAAAACATTCGCCAGCTGCTGAGGGTCATAATTCTTTGAGGTGGGAGCGACACGGAGGGCATTGGCATACATTTTATCGGGCAAGCAAACAGTTTTGCCTTCGGCATGTTAAATGTTTGACGCTTCCTGGAGATTCGTAAGATGCGATGGTACTTAGCACATCTTGACTCGGCGGTATGCACTCGCTTCACTGATTTGACAAAGACTCTAATTGAACTTACCCAGTCATCTGAACACGTGATCCGAATGGATGTTCATACCCTATTCACCGTAAACTTTCTTCCGCAGACCAATTAGATTTGTGGTAGCGATATATACTGGTTAACATGAACCCATTTTTTTCAACGTGTCTGCTGACGTTTTTTGTGGGACGGCCTCCGCCCCAGCGCCTTTGTGTCGGTAAAAGATTCAACAACAGAGAACACAACGAAGAAGCCAGTGCGAAATTCTCTGTGAATATCACGCAATTTCGATCTTGAATCCAGGCTTTCGGATCGGCGTTTTGATGCTTGCCTACATTCGCTGATCTGATTGATTGCTTCAGCGTACAATCATCTACTAGCTTTTCTGGCTTTTTGGACTTCTTTTCTATTGCGAATTTGGTAAGGTTCGAGAGCGCCAGTAAGCTTTCAGGCATTTCGGAATAATTTTCAAGTATCTGACCTTACTTGCACCAGATGCCTTGAATCTTCATTCTCCCTAAATGGAAGTGAAGTGGGTCGAGCCTATCAAAAATGGAGAGGTTGTATCCTCTGTGCCTCTTGCAGCATACACACAACAAATTTGCCGCGGTAATCTTTTAGAATTTCCGTTCCGCTTTGGTCTTGCGGGAAACCAGCAGCCGCACTAGGGGCAGATAAAGAGTCCGCGGGTTCCTTCTGGTGGTTGACGAGTTCACATTTTGCACCAATTCGTTAAATTCAAATATTTCTTCAAAACACTTAGAGTCATGTAACGTCCTGGTGATCAAAAACCAAAGTGGATACCATGTTCTGAATTCTTAAGCTTATTTTTATCATAGCGAGAACCGCTGTTGAAAGATTTGTAATAAATTCGGCTTGTATAGTTTGGATGAATGTATCATAGCTTTCTGTTCAAAGTAGGACAAAAGCACATTTTACTAGACTCATCTATATCTTGGACTATTGAAAAATGCCTACGGAAAATGGCGAGATTCCAGCCCAACCTCCTACTGCTTTGAAAGAGCCCATTCAATGACATTATTTTAACGTAATCTAAATCCATGGAGTAAAGTAAACTCCTTGGTTGAACGCTTTGCGGAACCTTCGCTATCACCAACTTAAGTCAACCAGAAACGTCATCAAACCATCTATTTGCACAGATAGTAACTGCTCAGCTTTCGGGAAGTTCCCATCTTTGAGACCGGTTTATTTGGCAAGTTGCGGGTTATGACACGGGTTTGCCCGCCCGACATTTTCACTATGATTTTTAATACGAATGTTTTCAGTAGAAGTACTTATGAAGCTAGCAGCGTGAAAACCGCTTACAGACTCAGTTTGTTGCTCAGTACCGACTGCGGCGCATAGGTATACAATGGAATGACTCACATTTGTTCTAGAGAACACCACAAATAACCACTGTGCACACGCTGTTGGAAGGACTTTGCCCGAATGATCAGTCATTGAACAAGTTGATCAGAATCGATGCTCATAGCCGGGTTAATATAAACTTTGTACCGCAGGTCTATTAGATTTATGGTGAACATCCTATTCGCAAAATCGCCTCATATGTACAAGGCAAAGATGGATTAA